CTACCATAATCACAGTTCATAGTTACGTTTCCAACTCACTATCAGTATGGCCCAGCCAGGAATTCTGATCACCAAAACTCAAGTCATTACAAAAAAACTTCCAGCCTTTACACATTGATATAAATTTAATCTCTCGTTATCATTTGGCTCTTTAGCAATCCTTCATATTTTAAAATACCTCCACAAGAAACGCAGTCTGTTAGCTCCTTGACTTTTACATCATGCTCCTGCCTCAGTTTCCTCCTCTAAAAATTGCTGCCTCTCTCATCTGCTGCCTACCTTCTTTCTTTCCTTCCTCGAATAACAAACTGCCTACAATGAGACTTCAGTCTTGCATCCCATAAAATCCAAGTTGACGAAATAACCACAGTGGCAATAATTAGAAAAAACAATTAATTTACGGAATAGAAAGAAAAATATCTGGAGTTTTGCTGCCGCCTTTGTCCACACTACCTCCATCCTTCCCTGCCAGGCACACTGCTGCTGAACTCTTCACTGGCAGCATTCCCAGCAGCATCACCCTTGCCTCGAGTCTTTTCCTGCTCTTCGCCTGCCCCAGTGGCTGTTCTTTGAACCCCTCGTCTCCTGGCTGCAGGCACTCGTTCTGACATCTTTTGCTCCATGGGTCAGACGCTGTTAATCTCCTGCTCCCCGCCTAACACTTGATGGGTGGTTTCTCTGCTCCGCTAATGCAGATTTATACCAGAGCTCACCCCTAATCCGCGTGTTCTCTCCAATCACTGTCCTAAATCAAAGCTGTCTTTTTGTTTTAAGGTCTCCAGGCACTCCTTGTCCCCAGTGCTTCCATCACACCTCTCCCAGGACTCGCTCAATAAGCATTTCCAGCCTGGCCTCAGGCTATTATCACACAGCAGAGGCTGATTTGCCTCACAAATGACCTGTTGCACAGCCAAGATTCACATCTTATTTCTTTACTTGCTTTCCTCCACCTTTCTGCCACTTCTCTTTTTTTTTTTTTTTTTTTTCCTCCTGGCAGCCTCTCCTCTCCCCTCTTACATCTCCTTTGTTGTTGGGGCATTTCAACGGAGAACAGAGAAAAATGGGGGGGTTGACTTATTTTGGTTCTTCATATCCATTTGAAAACACAATGCATCGAGGTTTAGATGCCCCTTGCAGGTATCTAGTGTCAAGGGACCCAAACCCTATCTCCACATCAACTCCAAGAGGGTTACAATGTTTGTGGAGTCCACTTCCGTGTCCGCATGAACTCCTTGCTGGGGCTCCTTATCTGGGACAAGTCCTCCATCGTTTCTTCCAGGATTCACCCCTGGGTGGAATGGGATGGGACCTGCAAGATGAAATTTAGGCTCAGATGCGTATGCAACCCTTCTCCTTTTATATGCTATTTTAATTCTCACTGTATTGTTGGCTCTGTTCATCCCAGCTGGATCTCTCCCTAAGTCCCAGGCACTTCAACCTGACAGTAGCATCAAAGGAATTCCCCAAAGCCCGTGGGGACTTTGGAGCTGATGCTAACAGCACAGTGCAGGCTGCAGCCGCTGTATGATCAGTAATGATGCACCAGAAGGAAAATACCCTGCTCAATCTCTGAGCCCTAAATGATCTTTGCAGTGCTGGCTGTTGGGAAACACCTCTTTTCAAGTAGGACCCTTGGGAGGAATCAATGGAGAATTCTGAATGTAATGCCCACCAGGAATCTTTATCACTTTTTCAGTGAAGAGCTACACTTTAACCACTCCAAGCACACAGAAAATAGGACTTTGGGATATTTACGTATTATAGAGGGCTATAACCATCCATATCAGCTGCTCTTTCTCTTAGAAGGTAGTATATATACATAAATACATATATTTTCCCATTTTGTGAAGCCAGCTTTTATTCATTGTGAATTGCAGTAATCACTTTCAGATTAAACCTTCCTCTTTTGTACCTAATTTCAATGTCCTTTTACGTGTTTGAATGTACTTAAATATTTTCAGGATCAGAACATCAAGCCTGTGATTTGTGATACCTGTGTACATCTGTACAGAACAATCTGGATCTTGACCTTGAGCCTACTGCAACTTAAATACAGGCAGCAACAATTATAGCAGGTCTCATATATTTGTTTAGCTTTGATTCATAGCAAGCAGGGGAATAACAGTTTTGGAAGCAAACATACTCTGATGCAGTCAAATATTGTTTCAAAAACAAATGAGCAATAAAGCTCAACATTGAAGTCATCCTTTAATAGAAATTACTTCCAATCTTGCACTGCGAGCAATGCCTTTAGAGCACAATGAAGCTCACTCAAATGTGTGTAATGCTGCTATCTATTGGAGTGATCAAATATTACACCAATCCTCTCACTTAAGAGACTTACACCTCTCCAGAATAAAATAAAAAAAAAAAGCAAGCAGAATTTGGCTGGTGTGAAATAGCTCATGCGATCTGATGACTAATTGGACACTAAACTCATGGATGACATCACTATTTAATTGGTTTAAAAGAGACATTAGAGCCATAATACTTAGAAATGGCTATTGCTGTGGAGAGGAATACTTTTTTTGGGAAACACAGGTAGGAGGACAATGGAGGTGAGGATACGTCACACATCTAAGATACAGATGATAAGCACAGAGAGATCCTGGGCAGTGATAAAGACAGAGGAAGATCCTGATGCACGACCTAGGTGCATTTCTAGAGCACTAGAAAGCAGCCACGGGGGCAGATGACTTCTGAGAAGTAGCAGAATCCCAACTCATGGTGACAAGCAATTCAGAAAAGAGCAAGGTTGATGGGATTCAGCTTGTACTAACCAGAAAATCACCTGGATATCTAAATTCCCTCTGTGTTAGAAGATAGATGAGCACCTTCAGCACTTCAGGTTACAGGACTGCTTTGTACAGAATCACATAGAATCACTAAATGGGTAAAGCTGAAGACACCTCTGGTCTCCTCCTGCCCCAGCAGGGCCACTCAGAGCAGAGTGAGCAGATGCACTGCCAGGAGCTTTGGGAGACCAAGGAGGAGCCCTCACACCTCCCTGGTCCCTGTGCCAGAGCTCCAGCACCCACCCAACACAGCAGTGCTTCCACTGAGCAGGGGGAGCTGTTAGGCTCCAGCCTGTGCCCAGTGTCCCTGGGCCTGGCACTGGGCACCACTGAGCAGAGCCCACTCACTTTGCAACCTCCCTTCAGGTATTTATGGTCACGGGTGACAACAGATCATCTATAAGGTTTTTATGAGGGACAGCATCAAAGGCCTTGCCAAGGAAGGCAATATCCACTGCTCCCTCCTCATCTGTCAGGCTGGTCATTTCATTATGGAAGCTTATCAGGTTTGCTACGCATGCCTTCCCCTCCTCATTATGTTCCTCTTCCTGTGCTTGGGAATGGCTTCCAGGATGAGCTGTTCCATCAGCTTCCCAGCTGAGGCTGACCAGCTTGTAGTTCCCCACATCCTCCTTCTTGAAGACAGGAAGGAGTTTCCTCCAATCTTTGGGCATTTCTCCCATTTGCCGTGATCAACCAAAGATTACAGAGTGGCCTTGCAATCTCTATCTGCCCATTCCCTCAACACTTGTGGATGCATCCGATTATGGACAGACTTACGAATGTCCAGTTTGCTTAAAGTAAGAAGTTCAGGGAAGTGAGGTTGTCCATGCTGTGGACAGATCTCTGGTGCACATAAATTTTGTTAGGACAGGAGAAAAAAAGGAAGGGGGGCTTTCCAGCATTGATTCGTTTACCAGGAATTTCCTACAACAGGAAAATTATAAGTGAGAGGTGCTACAAACCTGTTTTGTTTTGTTTTTTCAGGTGTGAATGAGGATTCTTCTTCCCAAGACTGCACAGTAGAGGAGCCAAATCAAATGGATAGATTTGAGATAAAACCCAGTAAGCTCAAAATTAGCAGACAGACTCTTAGAAGCCTGGTCTATCAATTAAAGACAGTTATTCATTAACATGACACTAATAAGTACTCAAGTGCATAACACCCACCTGCAAACCAGAAGGACACAACAAAACATTAGGCCAACTTTTTTTAAGCTTATATCATATGAGCATAAGAGACAAAGTGAGATAATTTAAGGCACTGAATGAGATATAAACAGCAGGGGCATAACTTTAACACAGCAGGTGTAAGAGAAAGGCCAAAGGCAAGGTTAATCCCCCATGCAGCAGAAAGGGAACTCAGAAGGTGATTCATCCACTGAATTCACTGCATTGATTAGATGCAATCAAGTGGCTAACGAAATTAACAAGGGAGGCAAAAGATCTCTGTCTCAAGTAGTGAAGGACTGGAAAGCATTTATTTGTTTTTCCCACCCGTCAAGCCTGACAAACATGACCTGAAACTATTTAGAAAACTGATAGGAAAGTCTGGTGAGAGCACATGCTGAGAGAATTTCTGAAGGCTTAATGTGGGCCTAGAAAACTATCAAAGGATTAACTTGATACCCTTTTCCAAAAGGAGGAACTGGGGCAGATGCTTTAATAGGATGAGATGTAGGGGCTTTCAGTTGTGTCGGTGCGGTTCTGTTTCGATATTAGGAAGAATTTCTTCTCCTAAAGAGCGATGATGCAGTGGCACAGCTGCAGGTGGGGTCATCATCCCTGGAGGTGTTCCAGAACTGAGGGATGCAGTGGGCATGGCGGGGTGGGCTGGGGCTGGACCTCGGAATCTTTTCCAGAGTGAAAGGGCTTAGAGCACCTAAGGTGACATTCAGGTACAAAACGCAGCCAGGGACAGAGGCCACTTCTGCTGAGAGCTCTGAAGAACTCAGCAGCCATGTGCGTGTCTTGTTTTAGGTGCTGCACTTCAACCAAGAAGCGCAGAAGGACCAAGCCCTCACACGGGGCTGCGCGCAGGCGGCCATGGCTGCTGCCCCGCCAGCTGTCCGAGTCAGTGCCTGCACGCGAAGAGGAAACGCGGAAAAGCAGCTCGGGAACGAATCAAAGATATACGTTTATATCTTCCACAGGATGTTAGAACGCTTCAAAAAAAAAAAAAATAAAATAAAAAGGTGGCAAGTAGGAGGTTGGAGCGGACGGGATGGCGTCTCGTCACACGCGCCGCGCAGAGGAAAGCCCCCAAGATGGCGATGCTGGCAGAGCGTGAGTGCGGCAGCGCTGCGATGGTGGCGGGAGGGCGGCAGTCCTGTGGGGTGTTGGGCGGGAGGCAGGCAGGATTTGCTCAGCTTCGCTCAGCTTCTTGCTGCCAATATCGAGGCTAAGTTGTAGGCTCGAAAGGGGGGTCCCTAGGGGGCAGCCCCATCACTCTCTGCTCCCTGCCCCCTTGTATCTCCCTTGGGGATTTATGGGCACGGTGGGACTCCCTGAGCCCCCCCTAGCTGTGGGCTGAGCAGCCCCAAGAAGAATTCAATTGCTTTTACTGCCTTCTCTTCAAACAGACCACAGAGCTGTGGGTGCCTCATCCCTGGAGGTGCCCGAGGCCGTGGATGGGCACTGGGCAGCCTGAGCTGGAGGCACCCAGCCCATGGCAGGGGTTGGGAATGGATGGGCTTTAAGTTTTTTTCCAACCCAACCATTCTATCAATCTATAATTCTCTATCCTTGAGAGTTTTCAGTAAGCTTTGTGGTGTCGGGACACCCTTAATGTGAAGCCACAAGAACCAATCCCACTAGAAAGCGCAGATGTGAATGGAGGGAAATAAAACTACACGTAGTTTTTGGGTTGTTTTAGTTGTAAACTTTGTTGGTAAGTTTTTTTCAAAATTTTATTTGGGCATTTATGCACTGATGCAGGTTACTCAAGAGAGGCGGTGGTGCCCCATCCCTGCAGACAGCCAAAGTCAGGCTGGAGGGGCTCTGAGCACTGATGGAGCTGTGGGTGACCCTGTTCAGTGCAGAGTCGAACAGATGGCCTTTAAAAGGGTCCCTTCCAACTCAAGTGATTCCAGTTTCAGTAGTAATTCTGTAGTCAGGATTGCTTCTGTATTTAATGAATTCTAAAATCAGTTGCTGCAAAAAACAAATCTTGTTGCTGAGAGTCACCTTTGTGGAGTTGTTTTTCTTTGAATCATAGAACAGCATGGGTTGCAAAGGCCCACAATGCTCATCCAGTTCCAACCCCCTGCTGTGTGCAGGTCACCAACCAGCAGCCCAGGCTGCCCAGAGCCACATCCAGCCTGGCCTTGAATGCCTGCAGGGATGGGGCATCCACAGCCTCCTTGGGCATCCTGTTCCAGTGCCTCACCACCCTCTGCCTTGCCTCAGTTTAAAACCATTCTCCCTTGTCCTGTCTCCATCAACCCATGTAAACAGTTGTTCACCTCCTGTGGTTTAGATCAGAGCTGCTAGGAAACTTTCAGAAATAGTTTTTAATGCTCTTGGCACAGAATTAGTTTTGGTGGAAGGGTTTATTAACTGGTAAGAGCTGGGTATCTGAGCAATGCATCCGAAGAAATGTCGCGTTTCTCCACTGGATGGTGCTGCTCACCCACAGTTGCAATACCATCTCAAGCATCACTCTGAGAGCAGCTCAGGACATCTGTGCTAAATTCTGAATTTTCTGGCTGGAAGCTATTAGACTGTTTCCTTCCATGCTCTTAAAAGTAATTGGTGAACAAACATTTCTCATGAAATCTGATGGTTGCTGTGTGTGGCATGAAGGTGGTTCTAGTTTTCTTAAATATATTTTGAAGATGTAGGAAAGTAAAGGAAGCTGCTTACATGTAGCTTAGCACATATGAAAATGAGCGTGTTGACCTGGCAGAATTGTGAGGATGAATCCTAGAACAGTAGCCATGGGATTAGAAATTCACAGATTGAAACTGTTGAGAAAAGGAGGATCTGGTGAACATTTCAAACTTGAGAAATCTCAGTGTTAGGTGCTGCTGTGTTTTGTTGCCAGGGTCCTCCTGGGAGTAAAACATCTTAGGATTTCTCTGCAGAGGGATATTCAGGAGAATTAATAGAGATTAGTATGTAAAGTGGATGAGATGAACTGCATAAAACAATTCAGTTTGAAATTTAGTTTAAATTCATGCATTCGGTTGACACAGATTAGCTCTGCTGTGCAGACAAGTCCTGAGATACACAGAGTGGCTTTGTAATGGTAAGGACTGCATTGAATTGAATGTTCTGGGTTTTGCAGAGTCACCACCTGGGAGCCAAGTTATGGACAGCACAACAGAAGATAAGCAGGCTGAAAATGTTAAACTAGATTTAAAAAACAAAACAAAACAATGTTCTTCCCCATAAATGAGTGGAAACTGGAGTCCTTAATATGCTTCTTGGGTGAAGGAAGATGACAGAACATGTTAATTGTCCCCAATTTCTAACTCAGTATTTCAAACACAGCAACACATGAGCAAACTCTGCCTGAGGAAACCAGAATGTTTGGCCTCGGAGACACAGCAGGGAACCTGGATTTGCTTGGGTCTGTTTAAAATCACAGTCCCCAGTGGCTCCTCTGCAGACAGGGCATGTATTGGATGGTTCTGGTCATCGTTTTCCCTTAGAGAAATGAACTAATTAAGTGCTTTTGGATTCCTCTCACAGCACTAAGTCATTTAACACACCATAAAATCTTTTTATGAACCATTAGAGCTTTTATGAAATTCTTTATCAGACCGTTATTTTTTGTGGGTCTGCCTTGCAGTACTTATTTTGAGCTTCAAAAGTATGTTAAAAAAGCACCGCCATCCTACATTCTGCCAGTTTTAGTTCTGAACCAAGACCGAGCAGCCAACGAGTTGAATATACCTGTAATATTTTCTCCCTCTGGCCTAAATCCCAAGCGTTGCACTTTAGGAAGAGATGATTTCCTGATTATGTTGGAAGTGCCCCTGTGGACTTGGCTTCTTGCTGACTCGCAGCGGCCTTGGGTTAATCGGTCATTTTTGATCCACCGTTTCCCATCGTGTTTAATGAAGTTTGTAATCTTCCTGTCTCCCATTCTTTGCCTTGTTTATTTCTGTTCTCTTCCTGCATGTGTTTAGGTGCACGCTTAGTGACTGGTTAACTGTGCTAACTTTTTTCTTCCTCGGTTTCAAAGAAGCTATTCCTGATGATACAGACAAGCTCACGCACGTGGGCCTGAGGGACTGTAGTTTCATTAATGGTATACATAGGAAAAAGGAGCCTTGATTCTAAGTTGCATCTCTTAACACCTGTGGGAGTTTCCGGTGACTCTTCAGTTTCTGAATAAGCCATTTTGTGGCAGATGAAACCCCTCTAATTTGTGTCCTGCGGTTCAGTTTCTCCAGTCACTTCAGTTTGATTTTTCAACTTCGCTTTTGTAAATGATACCCAATCTTAAAACTCCTGGAGAAAATAAAGGATGGGCAATGGACACTTGTCCAGTACTGGGAAAGCTTGCACTGAAGTCCCATTCTTTACCCTGAGGACACTGAACAGGTTGCCCAGCAAGGCTGTGGATGCCCCCTTCCTGGAAGCATTCCAGGCCAGGCTGAATGAGGCTGTGAGCAACCTGGGCTAGAAGGAGGTGCCTCTGCCTATAGCAGAGGGCTGGAACTGGGTGATCTTTAGGGGTCCCTCGAACCCAAACTATTCTATGGTATGAATCTATGATGTTTTATTTAGGCATTCTTTGTATTAAAAGCTTTCACTGGACTTTTTTTTTTTTTTTAGTATCTCATTCAGTAAAACTAAACTCCAAAAATGTATGATTGGTGTGGCATAAGTTGTTTCTTTGGATTGAAGGCTTTTCTTGAGTTGACTAAATTCTTGGAACACTGTGGAAATGTAGACAGAGCCCATATGATTTTTTTTTTCCTTTCTGTCTTAGCCCGTAGAAGACAAAAGTGGTCTGTGGATCCACGAAACAGTGCTTGGAGTAAAGATGAATCTAAATTTGGACAGAAGATGCTGGAAAAGATGGGCTGGTCCAAAGGAAAGGTATGGTCAGGAGAGCTCTGTGGCTGAAGGGTTGTGTCTGTTGTTCCTGAACTAAAAATTTTTTTAAGAAAGGAAACAAAAATAATAAGGGGTAGAGGGCTACTGGGGTATGTTGGTCCCAGTGTTTAAAACAGCTGTGGTATTCTGGTGTACCAGGCTGGATGTGGCTCTGGGCAGCCTGGTCTGGTGGTTGGTGACCCTGTCCATGACAGGGGGGTTGAAACTTGAAGATCATTGTAGTCCTTTTCAACACAGGCCATTCTATGATTCTATGATTCTTATTTAGTTTATTCTCGTAAGCCTGCTAAGAACACAGAGAATCTGAGCAATGTTAGATTTCTATAATTTCTTACAAAGATATTTGCTAGCTTGTGCCTGTCTTACTTCTCTTATAGAATCAGCTTTTCTCATAGAACTACAGAATGGTTTAGGTTGGAAGTGATCTCCAAGGATCATCAAACTCCAACCCCCCTGCTGGAGGCCTCAACCTCCATATCTAACTAATAACAGATCAGGCTGCCCAGGGCCCCATCCAACCTGGCCTTGAACACCTCCAGGGATGGACGGGGCATCCACAGCCTCTCTGGGCAGCTCTTCCAGCACCTCACCACTCTCATGATAAAGAACTTCCCCCTGACATCCAACCTAAATCTTCCCTCCTTCAGCTTAAAACCATTTCCCCTTGTCCTGCCATTATCTGCCCTTATAAAGAGTTCTCCCCTCTCTTTGACAAGATAATGTTAAATCAAGTAATTTTAGAGAAGGCTTTAAGTTGCTTTCATGCCCTCAGTTCTCTCCCTGGCTGTTTCTACTTGTGAAAGAAGAAACAAGTTCTGCTGTAGTCCTTCATGTGTTTTTAAAGGTTACTTCTGATCTTTGTACAAAATGCAATGTTACATGAGCTGTATTCCCTCCCAGATCCAGCATGTACCTGTGGTATGAGGTGACTGGTTGCTGGTGCTAAGAATAATCTCCAGGTCAGCGTAGACAGCTGCAGACATTTCTGCTGCCACTTAAAAGCAGTTTAACTTCCACAAAGGTGCCTCAGCAAAGCTGAGATTTGGGCCTGTGAATCAAGCACGCTTAGTGAAACAAACACATAGAACCTCTCCCATGCTGTTTATTTAATTCTTCTTCTACATCTCCTCCGTTCCCTTTTAAAATGAACAAAGTTAGGGCTGTTTTCCATACTGTGAATGTATTAAAAATTAAGAGTAAGGAAAAATAAGGCTACCCTTGAATTTCTCAGTGTTGCCTCAGTTAGCAGCATAGCTGACATAGTATAGATCTGGCTTCTGCCTGCCTGTCTGTAGGCATTAGAATGAATTGTTAACAAAGTGTGGGACTGAGCACTGTTACATCAGCTTGTATGCGTGGCTGTTTTGTGTGCAAGACTAAAATAGGTATATGAACCAGAGTAGAAAAAGTACTGATTATTATTCAGGCTGCCAGTTCCTCTCAACATAGTTAATGCCTTTACTGATATGAACACATTGTGTCAGGGTATGGAAGGAGGGCCTTGTGGTGTTCTCTGTCATTCCCCCCCCACCTTTTTGACAATAAGTTTCCTGCATGAGCTACTAAATCTTCTTCTACAACACTTATAGTTGTACTAGAGGGATTTATGACCCTGTTCTGCTGCAAACTCAGACAAATGGAGCCATAGCTTGATCGAGGTAAGGGGTAAAAGCCCGTCTGCGCTCTGAAATTAAGCTGATTATGTTAGTCCTGTTATTAGTTGTATTGGAATTGGGTCAGGGTGAGATGTGTAGCCAAGTGCTCTGCTTGTTTCCATACTTTTTTGTTAGCAGAAGCTTCAGGGTAGGTCTTCTACCCCTCTGACTAAAAAAGACTGCAGCCTTATTCAAACATTACTTGTTGCTTCACATACTGCATGGGTACATGCTTTATCCACAGGACTTCATTCCACCATTCCATCAGACCCATGCGTGTATATTTGTTATATCTTAATGAGAGAAAAGCAGATAGCAGGAATACTGCCTCATCTTGTTTTTTTTCCTGGTTGTACAATTAAGAAACATAATACTGGGTCTGGAGACTGTTTCCCAGGTTGGAATGCTTGCATTTATTTAGGATAGACAAAACCATCATTTGTTTGCTCCAATATCTTCACCAAATTACGAGTGTACACAGGATGGAGAAAGTTGCTAATGACCTGCTAGCTCCAGTCTGATCCTTCCACTTCCTCTCACCCACTTTAATATAAATTAATTCTGCTTTTTAAGTTCTGTGAGGCAGCTGTCTTGTAGCTGTTACACAACTGCCTTCGCAATGGCGGAGGTGGTTTTGATGAGAGGCATGTTCTTTTTATGTAGTGTCTTGTTTTAAAATTGTAAACACTTTGGACTTGCCTAGGAATGTCAGGTGGCTTCCTGATTAATCACCTACTGCTTAATGATGTTATTTTAGTGTTTATGGTATTTTGCTGGAGGCTTAAGTAATAAATTAAAAATACTTAATATCTCATGTATGCTGATGCCCGTGAATGAATTCAGTTGCAGGCAAGCGAATAAATAGTAACTTGTGGTTTCTTGCTATATTTCATTGCAAAATGTCTTCAGTACAGCAGCTCTAGTTGCTTAGTCACTGCTGGAAAACCCTTATGTTTTTATTCTTCAATCCTCATTAGGGTCTTGGAGCTCAGGAGCAAGGAAATACAGAACATATCAAGGTCCAGGTGAAAAACAACATGCTGGGGTTAGGAGCATCCATCAAGTATGAGGTGAGTGCTAAACCCAGGTAAGGAGATGTGGCTTCTTTTTTAGGTAAGGCATGATTTTTGTAATGGGATGTTAGTGAAATCTGTTGTCACACCTAGTGGCAGCATGCACCTATATGAACTTCTCTGCAGAGACTCTTGACCTAAAATTTATTTAGGCTCTGTTCAGTGGTTGGGGAATAAATATCTGTTTGGGAAAGTTAAAGTGAATTATCAGAGCTGTTCAGAGAGTTCTTGCTCTAAATCACTGGCACAGGTTGCCCAAGGAGGCTGTGGATGCCCCATCCCTGCAGGCATTCAAGGCCAGGCTGGATGTGGCTGTGGGCAGCCTGGGCTGCTGGTTGGTGACCTGCACACAGCAGGGGGTTGGAACTGGATGAGCATTGTGGGCCTTTGCAACCCAGGCCGTTCTACAAAATACTTGCTTCCTCCATATATCTTTCACCTAGCCTAGTTTTATGTTTTCTTTCCCTCTTCCTGATGCAGTCACCTTGCTGACTAGAGTTCAGGTACATGTGGGGAGAGCAGAATGTGCTTCTAAAAAGGTGCTTGTCTCAGAATCAACAAAATCAACAACTTAAGTAACTGCTGGAAAATCACACTAGTATTTCCTGCCTACTGTTGAAAACATCTCATGCAGTCTGGGACATGCGGAGCCAACAGCACCTCAGCATTGTTTAAAAGCTTACAAACACAACCCTTATCAGTTCTGCACTTTTGAGTAACTATAGCAAGCTGTTGTTAGTATTTGCCACCTGTGGAGCTTCAGGGGGTCCCTCCCACCAAGAATCCAGTATATGTAATTAAGTTACTTCTTGGAAAGCATTGTTTTTTTTAATGCCTGCTTTAGTGAAACTTCTGTTCCGTCTGAAAACTGTTGCTTTGTGTTCATGTGGGTGATATTTACAGGACAACTGGATTGCTCATCAGGATGACTTCAACCAGCTCCTGGCTGAACTGAATGATTGCCATGGACAGGGCGAAACAGGTAGGTTCATGCTTTGCTCAGTCAGGTGCTGGAAGCTTAGCAGAGTTTCCATGATCTGTCTTATAAGGGTAGCTGAGGCCCAATCCTTTGAGCTACTAATAGTATCCATGCTGAGGCACACAGCTTCTCCTCCTCCTCTCCCCAAATCAATGGGAATTGAAGGACATGCTGCTATCCGTGGCTGTGCTCAACTTTGGATGTGTAGATCTCATTGGTTTAATCACAGTTAAAGACTTTTTGATGGGGAAAGAAAGCATAAAACTTGGGTATTTTACCCAAGGCTACAGTATGGAGGAACCTTTTGCTGGGATGCACTACGCCAGCCTTTGTTTCTTTGTAAAGTAACCAGAGCCAGAAGGTTCACAGCAGAATCATCCACCATTGCAATGTCTTCATTTGCTAATTAACTGTCAATCTGGCTTCCATGCTCTGGTGGTTTCTTAAATACCCACTTTTCCTGTCTTCAAAGAGCTGCTTCTCAGCTTTTAACTCAGAGTTATGCATTTCTGTTTTGAGTGTCATATGATGTGATTTTTGTAGCCTTAATATAGAGCAAGCAAATGGGAAAAATACATAACTTTCCCCAAAGGGTTATTTAGCAAGTTGCTTTAATTTTGTAAAGCTTTGTACAGTTAGACCTTGGCTTCTAGAAATGAAGCAGTGCTAAGCCAGCAGGTGTGAGCTTACAGAAGGAATTCAGGCAGGTGTCTCATCTCTCCTTTGGACTGGCCTGTCTCAAACTGATCATACATCTGAGCAACTCTGTGGAGTGTTGTTAAACCAAGGGATTCTGTTTGGATGCAGCAGCCTGTCCACGTGCTGCAAGCTTAATAGCATTTGTGAACAGGAGTTCCACAAGAGGAAAGATAAGATGAAGAGCAGGAAGATCAGTTAAAAAGGCTTAAACTTGGTTTCTAATCCTTGAGAATGAAGGTGAAAATCCTGAACCTAATGCTCTAAAATTTGAATTGCTGTGTAAGTTGTCCTTGTACACTGGTCTAAGGCCACAGGGCTAGCTGCTGTAGTGGAAGTCCTCGAGAGATTAGAACAGAGTATCAGAGTGAAATTCCAAAAGTTCCTGTCTTCCTTTGTATCTGAATCCTACCCAAGTTCCAACTTGAGACGTGAGAAGATCATTTAGGTGTAACTGGTGGGAAACCTGCAAACTGATGAGCAGAGAGCTGAAATGACTTGCCCAGGGACACAGTGAGTCAGCAGAGAGGCAGGTTCATTGAGCAAGGCTGTCTCGTTCCTAATTCTGTGCTGTGTACCATGGGTCATCTGTACCAATGCAAAATGGTCCCCAAACCATGTTTCTCTCTGTTCTACTGCTGTTTTTCCTTGGTCTTCTTGGACACGAGATTTCAATCACTGAGCACAAACTTGGGTACAAGTTGAAAAGTCCTGGTCAGAGTCACATTTGGTGATTTGCAGACTGTAAACATTGCTCAGAAACTTGTTTTTTTGGCAATTGTTTAAGCTGGCAAAACTCATCCAGATAACTCTGCCCGCAGCTGTGCTTCAGGATCAAATGTTACATTGCTGGCCATCATCCAGTTTCAAATTGCATTAAAAGTCAGCTGAAAACCTTCATTGTTCTTAAATAACTGGTATAGTTGCCAGAGCTGGATTGCAATTAGACGCTGGGAGGGAAGGGCTCTTTGGTGGTTAGTATGCCAACATTCAAATACCCTTTATCTACATAGTTTCAGCTTTCTTCTTTTTCTAACTGAGTGCCCAGTGAGGAAGGAGTTCTTAACCCAACAGAAGAGCCAAGAATTACTGAGTGATGATGGCTGACTCCCTTTCCCATCAGTAGAGGAAGCGTGCAGGCCATGTCTGTTGTGCTCTGGAATATTCATCTGTATGAGATTTGCTCTAGAAATGCCACGACTTTATTACTGTGACTAAATTGCTTTGTAAAGCACAGCAGGACACAGGGATGTACCTACTCTGTTGTCAGTGCCAGCACGTTTTTAAGTTCAGTAGTGAAATTCCTTCTGGAAGGCACAAGGAGGTGCTGCTGCCCCTTCTGCTGTAAGGATGAAGTGCTGGAGGAAGCTCCTATGGAAATCCTTTGGTGCATAATGTTCCTTTTAGTACAAGTGAATCAGAGAGCAGACTCAAAATGCCTCATCTATGGTCAGGATATCTTAATTGTCATACTCACTTTCCCCATAGAGCCTTTTATAGAGGATTTGCAAATTGACTGTGAATTCTGTTTGAAATTGAGTTTTCCAGTCTTTACTTCTCTCATTAATGTTTATGTGTAAATTCAAGAATAGATCTGAGGCTGCTTTGTGGTAGTAAACTCTCCCACTGCAAGCCATGGATTTCATTTTTAGGTCAATGAATCTATCATCAGGTGGCATTACTAAGCAAACCATGAAGTGCTGAAATTCCGGTGTCAGAAAAGCTTGGGCTGCAGAGCTGTCAGGGGTGGGATGGTATGAAAACAATGACTCAACGTGACCCTCAGGGTATGGGTTGATTTATCTACCCATCCCAGTTGCCACTGGCAGAAAAAAAAACCACCTCACCTTGAGTAGCCTTTTCTGTAGTGATGGAGCATGGAATCCTGCAGTGCCTATTTCCCTTCAGGACAGCACCAATAAAGTGGTTGTTACAGGATTGCAGGTTACCTCCTCCCGAGGTAGTTCTGTAAATTAACATGCTCTGTGGATACAAAGAGTGTGTCTGTAGCAGCAGAATAACCTCTCAGGCACAGGAACTTTGCACTGTTAAATAGTTAGACTAATTCTTCACATGCTTTTGACCTGTGCAAGCCAACACTCTGTTTTAAACACCTCCTAATGAATTTGGAACTGACCCCAGAGACCATTCCCAGTGGGTAGTTTAGATGCAGCCCCTCTTCTGAAAGCTAACAGAATTAAATAATACACACGTGGCAGCTTTTGCTGGTCTTAGGGATGAAAAAGGGCTGCTGCTGTTTGATTTCCTTACATGGCAGTATCAAGGCACATTAAGTAGGGTTGAAAAGCCTGTTTGGTGCTATGTTTCTTTTTTGTGGGTCTGTGTCCATTTTTGTCCATTTAGATTCAGTGTTTTATTTTTTCCAGTTTCTTAGTGCTTTCTCAGACTCAAGGGCTGGAAATATTTTGTAATAATCAACAGTTGACCCTGATCTACTAGTCTCTTCTTACCCTAGAAATGGTGTTAAATTAGTCTTTGCCTTTGATCTGCAGTACCTCTATCTGCCTATTCAAATTACACTAGATTGGAAATGGGAATGGAAGGGGATGTGGCAAAAAGTCAGGCACTAACATGTCTCTGAGAGAGGTTACTGTGCTTCCTTCAGTGAGAAGTTGTTTTGAAAGAGAAAGTTAAATACAGTGTTGTTTGAATTTGGTTGTTAATGTTTTTCTAGTAGGGTTTGAACCTGCTTTTTTTTCTCTTTAAGAATCCTCAGTGACTAATCAGAAGAAGACATTTAATCTTGAGGAAAAATCAAAATCCTCTAGGAAGCGTGTCCACTACATGAAGTTTGCAAAAGGTAAGAGGAAATTTTATTTCTTAATCTGTAGCCAAGATGTGTAAAACATGTCCAACTGATCACTTCCCTTCTGTAGTCCATATACAACAAGTAGAATGATGGTTTAGAAACACCCCTTGCAGCATCCTGGAGTATACTATTCCTCTTTCTGTTGGACTTTTCTAGATGGCTGTAGGGTGATATTGCTGAATAAATCAATTCCTATCTGTAGGAGCCATCAGCTGACTAAGGAACAATGAATATTCTCAGCTGTGTTTATGGGAGGAGGGCTGGACCGAGAGGCAAAGGTGGTGGCCAAGTAACTGCGTTATCTGTGCTGCACTATCCTCTGCAATCTGCAGTAACCCTTGCTAAGAGATCATGTGGATAAGATCAGTGATCAGATTAAACCTGAACGCAGGAAGAGGAAAGCCCTCTTAGATCTATTATATACTTTATTGGGTAAATTAGGACAGCGATTGGAGGCCAGAAAATCTTGTATGAAAAGCTTGTGGGGTTTGGTAGCTTCTTTCTATGTTAGAGCAATGGCATGATTTCAGCCAAACTTGTCCTCTGCTCCTGGCCACTGTTCAATCACTTGCTGTATTTCTCTGTTGGTAGCGTTCCCCTTTCACACACCCGTGTGTATAGATGTGGTTCACTGTATGGCTAGGCTCAGTTTCCACTAATGGCTAATTTATTAAACTTAAAACTCTGTACATGATGTTTTTTTGTTAACAAATGCCTCTGCTAAAACAGGTAATTGACTTCTGAATGGAGGCCAAATTCTGATATTGGAAATTTTTTTGTGTGCTGAAAGAATTCAGCCTGGAAGTCAAGTGTTCTAACATGACCGTGCCACTTTATGACATTAAACAATTAAAGTAGTTCAGGTCTCCAAGTACAGAGACCATGGCCTGCTTGAGGTAGTTGCAAAGAGGATTTATTTTGATTTGGATTTAACCTTTTGCTAAATATAGAAGAAAAAAAGAAGTGTCTTCAGAGCCTGTAAAACACATAGCAAGGCTTTTATATTAACAATAGCCCTTATTTGTTTGGCTGCAGTGCTTAAATAAGGTAGGCCCTTGTTTGACTGTACCCTCAGTGGTCTAAAACAGGGAAATTCCTCCTTTTCAGGGAAAGCGGAGAAGTTATTTGAAAAAGGTTGATGTTGTTGTGGCCCTTGTTGTTGAAGTCCAATCCTGCTTCCTTTCAGACTAAACAAGACAAGCTTACACAAAAGCAGGAGAAGGGAGCAGCAGCCATCAAAAGTTCCTGGTGCTGTTCTGTAGTCTTGCTGCTAGAGGAGCACAGGCACTGCTCATAGTCCTAACTGCCACACTTGCATCTGGGAAATCTACATTAATATGAGATTAAGAGAGTAAAGATGGGCAATTTTTTTCAGTATAAGGGTGTAATCCCTGAATTCAGACAGAAACAGGAAATTCTCTTTAAGATCTCAAGATATTCAGTTTCACCTTCTACTTTCTTGTGTGCAGGAGAATACAACTCTCCTTTCCCTTTAGAGTAGAACAGGCTGCTTCCCTCATTCTGCTATGCCAATTACAATGTCAGGTGGGAGAAAACAAATTAATGTTACAGATGTTTTCCCACAGATTTTCACTAGCAGGCTGTGGTTGTCTCCTCACCAGCCTTTTCCTACCCACATGTGCACATCCTGCAGTATGTGTGAGCCGTGGGCAGCTTTCATTTAGTGTCTGTAACATACTACTCTTGGTTTTTGTACCTCCAAAAGTAATTTCTCTCTGTCTGTAGGTTACAGCTGGTTATCAAAATGTGCCTATCATCACCAGATGAGAAGACTGTGCTTTTTTTTTCCCCCTTATCCCTTCCAGGTAAGGATCTCTCATTGCGCAGTGAGGATGACCTGTCCTGCATCTTTGGGAAGCGACAGAAGAGTGTGAAGACACAGGTAAACAAGAGGCTTCACCTTTCTTTTGTTTCTTTGCTTATTTTTTAACACAAGAATATGTAATTTTCTGTTCATGAGGTTACCACACGTTTATCAAAAGCAAGGGCTTCTGTGTAAGTAGAATCACTCTTGTTTCTTTGTGAAGGTTACAGGTGGAGGGCTGTACTCTGAACCATTAGAGGCTATGAATGTGTGTATAAATATTTGTAGGAATTGTGATGATGTCATGTCTTTGCAGTTAGTGCCAAGACTTCCCCAACTTTGTTGTGATGAGGTCAAGGTTTTTACTACTATTCTTTTTCTTCTATCTGTTAGCACTTTGCACTTGTAGAGATAGGCCTGCTGGATTAGTGTATGAAAAACAGGCTTACACTGGGATGCTACTGATGTGTCCAGAAGTGTTTTTTGGAAAAGATAACACCTGGAAAAGCACAGATGAGTATGCTGTGAGGATTGCACTGTTGATTCAGAGGTCTCTGAAGTCTCATGCAGCCAGAGGGAAAGATGGCACCTGGAAAATTAGAATGGCAGTTTCTGAAATATCCCCTTGCTCATTCTGCAGTACTCTTGAAAACTGTTCTGTCACTTCACTCTAACTTCTGTTCACAGAACCAGTGTTAACTTATTATTGTCTTGATACCAGCATTTTGGCACTTCAAATTCATGAGAGCTGTTAGAGGCCTCAAATGCTGTAAGTACATATGCACCAACAGAACTCTCTCAATTGACACCACTGCTGATTGGGTAAATACGCCTTAGATCCATTGCAGTAAAATCACTATGAAATGAGGAAAAACAGGGTTTTAGTGCAAATCAGTGGAAGAAGACAGTTGCTATGGCTAAGGCAGCAGCCATTTTTCCAAGTAGTTTATTTTGTTTCCTCTTTATGCTCCTCATCTTTTTGTTGTTGCTGTTGTTGAGTGCATGCATTTGTGGCAGCTTGTGAGGGGTGTGCAAGTTGGTGCAAATTCCTTGACCAATATAGTGATGTTATAGCCAGCAGAAGGTGATGGCCACTGTTGTGCACATTTCCTTTTTAACCTTGCTGAAAGCTAAGCTCGCGTTTCATGGTTCTGGCAAGAAGTCACAGGTTGTTCCCTGTTCAGTGGCCAGATTTCCACATGCAAATGTAGGCAGGAGGTAATATGATTTGGGGCTGCATTGTTGTCTTCTGGCTACCGTCTGCTGCTAAGCAGCCACTGGGAGAGCACAATTGCTTTTTTTTTTCCCTCCCTTCATGGGTCAGAGATCTGTGGAGTTTTCACAGAACAAAAATGTGTTGCTCAGGCCCTCCAGCTCTGAGCAATTCCATTTCATTGCACCCGTGAACTCTCTCTGCCCTTCCCATTATGTTCTAGAGCCTGGTCCTTAAGGTGGCAGAAATGGAGCTGCCTCTTGAGGATGTGCAGTGCTGTTCCCTGTGTATGTTTGCATTCTGTTCTTGAAATCCCTGTACTCTGGCTACTGCCTAAATGTGGCAGAGAAAGCACTACAGGAGCAGGAAAGTGCTGTCATTCTCTTGGATGCAAGCCGTTCCTATCTGTTCCTGTACAGAGATAAGGTAGGGAGAGTTCTGGTGTCCATCAGAGCCCTGAGGTATGCCTTCAGGCTGTGGTAGGTTGTGGTTCCCTATAATTGCAGCCCCTGTGACAGCTGATAAATGCTGTACACTGCTGTCCCTGTTCAGAGAATATGAGGACAGCTTCCATACTTCATAGGTTCTAGAACTGTAAATCCAATTACATGTTCCATGCTGTATGTGCAACCGAGATGATGTATAAAAATTGTTCCTGTAGCATGACATTGTATTTTTAAATCCTCTTCTAAGGTATTTAGATTCTTTCCCCTCTTCTCCCCTTGTTTTGCCCCCCGCACCCCCCCCCTTCAAGATTTGGTTAGAGAAGCATTCAGTCCAAATCAAATTTGGAATGGATGATCTGTCCTCAGCTCTCAACTCTTGACTTTCTGACCAAGATATAATAATTCTGTTGCCCAGATTTCTAGTTATTTCGAACTGAGATCAGGACTATTTTGGGTATGATTTCATGATTTCATGCAAGAATTGCTTTTCATACAATCGCAGACTGGAGGAGACCTCTGGAGCTCTCTAGTTCAGTTGTAGGGTCAACTGTAGCAAGTTCATTCAGACTTTGCTAGGTTAGATTTTGACCATTTCTCTCCCTTAAAACCTCCAATTCAAATTTATAACAGAATTCCATAAATGGATCACTTATAGAGTGGGAGATAAGGAATAACTTGGAATAATGAAGTTCTTGTGCTAAAAACAGGCTCAGCTGGATGAGCATTTGTTATTCACAGAGTCACAGAATCGTAGGGGTTGGAAGGGACCTCCAGAGATCATCGAGTCCAACCCCCTGCCAAAGCAGGTTCCCTACAGCAGGTCGCACAGGTCGGCATCCAGGCAGGTCTTGAACATCTCCAGAGAAGGAGACTCCACGACCATTCCATAGGGATCAGGGACACTGAAGTGTACAGAGTGAATTAAAGTTGTATTCCATTGTCTGGTGGCATTATGGCCAAGTTTTTCATCTGTGAGTTGCAGATCTTCTCTCACTCCTTTGAGATGCTACACTTTCAGCCTTTGAGCTTTTTGGTATCCAGCAGTGGCTTGTAGTGCTGTAGATCCTGGCAGTGGTGTTGCAATGAGAAACTTCAGCACTGTGGTCCTGTGCTACACAGCTGGTTTGTGTTATACCAGACTATTGTTAAAGATTAGGAGAAGGAGGGGGAAAAGAAAGTGATACCCAGTAAAATCCATCTGTGCCCACAGTCAAGTGGAAACCAATGGAAGGACTTAAGGCTAAGTGACGTGGTGAGGACCCTACAGAATAACCCTGCCTTCTCTGAAGTCCTTCTCAAAAACATGCCCCCCTCTGAGCTGCTGGTGTCTCAGCAGATCAAGTATGTTTGAGAGATGTTGTCCCAGTTAGTCATATTCAGTCTTAGCTGTATGCTTATTAGCAGTCATTTTATGATCTTGACCTGTGTGTCTTTGGCAGGAGACATTTTGTGCTACTTTGGTTTATGATGTCCTAATTGAAGAGCAGATTTCAGGCTCGCTCTTAACTGTCTCAGTAGCCAGTGACTGATCTGGCAAATGGATCTTTACTCTTGTGTCACACTGACACCGCTGCAGCAAGTAAGGATGTTGAAATTTGGGTTATCTGTGTTGTCAAACTGAAGGGGAATTGGCGAGAGGACAGTAAAGATTGCAAAAGAGTGGAATCGCAAAGGATATGGAAGGAAATTCAATTTGCCTCAAAGGGTTGAAAGGAGTTTCTCTAGAAGTAATAAAACCAGGATCCCAGTGAAAGCTGTTTGGATGGCATCGGGATAGGCCTTACTCATGTTAGGCACCACCTTTCATTCTCCTGAATGTTACACACAAAGACACTTTATAAAGATTTTGATAAATCGTGTGTCCAACTAAAACTTCCTTAATAAACTACACAGGGACTCCTTTTTTTTTTTTTTTTATAAATTAAATAAAAATGGGGGGAAGAAGACAATGGCTGGGTTTCAGAGTGGAATTAAATTGGAAACGTCTGTAGTTTTTCCCAGGGTGAGCAAGTGATCGAAAATATTGAATTGTAATTACGATGCTCTCTGGGGACGTGCAGTGAGGACCTGTTTTGCAGGGTGAGATCTGCCAGGCTGATTTTTTTTCTTTTGCCCCCACTTTCCCTCTGGTTTTCTCGCTTGCTTAGGTACACTGGGAGCCGGTGAGACAGAAAAACAAATTCCATTAGTTCCTATCTGGTTGAACTTCCTCGAACCCCCACTATTTTTTTTTTTTTTTGCTTCTCAGAATTTCCTTCCTCCATCCAGCTGTGTTTCCTGATGAAGCCTTATCACTGGAGAAAATACTCCTGAGTGAGACTGAGGATTTGGGAATGAGTTACAGACAGTCCCAACTTGGTTGCTGAACAACATAATTCTGGCACTGGTTTCACTCTGGGGGCCGGGGGACTGGTTGTGATTTGCTGGCACATTTGTAAGAACTCCATTTGAGATGAGTACAAAACTGAATGTTTTGCATCCATCTCACTTCCATGTCTCAGGCCATTTGATGAGTAATCTGCTTCCTCCGAATTTCTGGAGCTTGAATGTAAACCTGCGTAAGTTCCCTCTGACAACCTGATCTGAGCAGCCCGAAAGTCTCGAGTTCGTGGTGATTTCTTCTGTGTTAGTCATTAGAAATGTAACTATCTGCCCTTGTTGCCTTCTTCTTTTTTTTTTCTTTTTTTTTTAAATCAGGAAATTATCTTCTGACACATTTTGCAGAACTTCCTCAACCGACTTAACGTTTCCCAGCACTTATCAGAAAACCTTGTTGGCTAATCTTCAGGGATGTAACTGAAAATCCATTAGAGCCAGGCCCTGTCACTGGCCCACTGGAGCTACGGGTAAATTGATGCAATTCCCTACAGCTGAACTTTCTGCAAAATGCCAGTCACGATGCTGATCTTGGTGGGGTTTAACAGTGTCTTATAGGCATGTGACAACTTTAGTTTCTTTTTACCTGATCTGAATGTGTATGTTTGGTGGCCCTGCTAGGCAGGGGGCTTGGAACTACGTGATCCTTGAGGTCCCTTCCAACCCGGGTGATTCTGTGATTCTGTGTGATTCTGTGTGAGTTTCTTACCTGTGACAAAAGGCTCTGATTTTGTGCTTTCAGGGAACAAAAACCTGCAGGAGAGGAAAATTAGTTAAAAATTAACTCCACCTTTTTACTGTTCTGCTTTGGAGACTGTAGCTAGCGTGAGAGATTTGGAACCGAGAAGCAGAACAGAAAGAGGACATCAAAAACCTGGAGAGAGTCCAAAAGGTTTTAGTAAAATGGGTGACAGGGTTAGAGGGCAAGTCCTAGAAGGAGAGAGTGGAGGAACTGGATGCGTTCATCTGAGAAGAGAGGCAGAAAAAGGTGACCTCTCTGCCTATAAATATCTGAGGGTCAGGGGGAGGGAGGAACAGAGGAC